AGTTGTCCAGATCATTTCTATTTTTTAGTAGAAACAGGGTCTCGCTCTTGCTCAGGCTGGTCTCGAACTCCTGACCTTGAGCGATCCACCCACCTCGGCTTCCCAGAGTGCTAGGATTACAGGTGTGAGCCACTGCGCCCGGCCTAACTTAATGTATCTAAAACTGAGCTCCCAAACCTCCGATGCTTGATCCAAAGTCCTGCCTGGGTAGGGCTGATCAAGGAGCATGAGCCAGCCTACCTTAGACATGTCTTCCAGTCCTGCTCTGCGCACGGATAGAGAAGGCTGACGTTCACCCTCTGTCTGGCTTCCGCACCTCCTTTGCAATTGATCCAGGGTTTGAGTGGGGAGGAGGGAAATATATAGCATTTATTGGCTCCCTGAGGCCCCCCCGTGAGAGAGCTGTTGCTGATGCTGTTGTTACCGCTCCTGTTGTTCCTGTCCTCCTAGATGGTCCTGACCCCGTGCAGATCAAGTTGGAGCCTGGTGTACCCAGCGGGGAGGTGGCCGAGGTGATAGAGGGCTCCACCGTGACCTTCCGGGTGGAAACACAGTCTCGCCCAAGCCCTGCCTATACCTGGTTTCTCCCCAGTGACTCCATCTCGTCTCCCACCACGGAAACATTCACCATCCAGTCCATGTCCAGAGAACACGAAGGCACGTACAGGTGCTTGGTGTCCAACAGTGCCACCCAGCTGTCCCTCCTGGGTGCTCTTAAGGTCCACGTCTTTGGTGAGTCTCCTTTCCTGGTTCCTCTCCTTTGTTCCCTTGCGAATCAGAGGCTGTCTGTGTCAGAGGGGACCAAGAGTTCTCTTTCTGGGGTCTCTGGACAATCTGTGAGAGGGCGATCAACTGGATGGGTATCAGCTTGCATGCGAAATGTTCGTGCCGTGTTCTGGAGAAAGGGCCAAGGGTTGTCATCAGATTCTTGAAGGGGACTGGGACTCTGAAAAAAGTTAAGAGCCACTGAGCCACACCAGCACCCCAGAGTTTGAGGAGGACCCAGAGGATTGGGGATTTCCTGTGCATCTGGTGGCCGAGCAGGGCTCTGACCACAGGACAGGCTGGGCACGATGGCTCCTGGCCTGAAACATCCTCCAAGACCCTGCTGGCTTTTAGGGGTTGGCCGTGATTTGATTCTCTGGAAGTAGAGGGTTGGTTGTTGACTGTCTACATGCACAAACACCAACAGAATACTCACACACTCCATATACAAACAGATAATAACCACATACGCACGGCACACTCACACACGTGCAGAACACACAGCACACACATGCAACTCAGACAGCACGTACACACAACACGCAATGCCACAGACATAAAACACACACTCACACAAAATACATGCCCGTATAACATGCACACAACAGACACATACAACTCACTCGACACAAAGTACATAACACATCAAAGACACACAACACATACACACAAGCCCACAACACATATACACAATATACTCACATATAGTCACAACACATATACAGCACACATGGCATACACACAAAACACACACACATATCTCATATACAACAAACAATACCCCAGACATAGGACACATTCTTGCATAAAACATGTATACACATAATACGCACCAACAGACACACAATATACATAAAACACACATACATCACAGACACTCAACATTGCAACCACTCAACGTTGTAGACACTCAAGATATACAACACAGAAAACACACCGCATACCACACATTCAACACCCTCAACACATACACACAACTGATAAACAATCCATACACAAAATCCATACACACATCACGCAACACATACCCACAACACGTACAACACCACAGACACAGAACATATGCTCATATACAAACACTCACACATAACACACACTGACACACATAGTGTATATGTATGCCACCCTCATACCTCACGTTCACAAAACATATACACACAACACACACAACAGACACAAAGTACACACTCGAAGACAAAACACAAATACACACCACGCACTCTCCACGTGCACAAAACCCATTACACACTCACATAACCATCACACAAAACACACCCATCCACAAAAGACATACACGTACCACACACACCAAACCATTATATGCAAATCACATATGTGCACAAGCCACGCCATCCACCCACAACACACACACACACACACACACACACACATCCCTGGAAAACCCTTGTGGCCCCCACATGGGCGGGAGCCTGGGGAAAGTTCCCCGAACCTGACCCTGTATCTCCACGTGTTTCTAGAAAGACTGACCACGCCCCGAGTCGTGTCTCCAGGCCTGAATCTCGTGGAGAATGCCAGCTCCGTGGCCCTCGCCTGCCAGACCATCCACAAGGAGGTTGGTGTCCAGTGGTTCCTGAGAGGCCAGCCCCTCCTGCCCAGTGAGCACCTGGTACTGTCGCCCGACAACAGCACCCTGGTCATCCACGGCCTGCGGCGGGACGACACGGGGCCCTACACGTGTGAGGTCTGGAACTGGGGCAGCCGCGCACAGAGTGAGCCCCTCAAGCTGACCATCAACTGTGAGTCGCTGGGGCCTGGACCTCCTCCTCCTCCCTTCCTCCCTCCTCCTCTTTAAGGTCTTCCTTCTGTTTGTTTCTTTTTTTTTGTTGTTGTTGTTGTTTATTTGTTTTTTGAGACAGTCTCACTCTGTTGCTGGGGCTAGAGTGCTGCGGCATCAGCCTAGCTCACAGCAACCTCCAACTCCTGGGCTCAAGCGATCCTCCCGCCTCAGCCTCCCAAGTAGCTGGGACTATAGGCATGTACCACCATGCCTGGCTAATTTTTTCTATTTTTTTAGTAGAGCTGGGGTCTCGCTCTTGCTGAGGCTGATCTTGAACTCTTGACCTCAAGTGATCCTCCTGCCTCGGCCTCCCAGAGGGCTAGGACTACAGGCCTGAGCCACGGCACCCGGCCTCTCCTCTTTCCTTCTAATTCAGTCATTAAACCAAAACTATTGATTTTGTGCTGTCTGTGCTGAGCAGCATGTTGGCCACTTGACAGCAGCCATGACTTTCAGCGCTCACAGCCTCTTGGGAGTGGGGAGATCACTACCCAGGCAAATGAAACCCAGTGCGATAAATGCTGCCGTGGGGAAAGAAGGTAGGACTGGGGAGCCCAGAGGAAGCCCTAGTCGGGGGGAAGTGGGCAGGCTCCTCGTGAGAGGTGATGATACCCTGAGATCCGAAGGATGAGTAGGAGTCGGCCAGACAGAGCAAAGTCAGGGAAGACCATTCCAGGCAGAGGGGAAGGGAGTGTGCGGTGGCTCTGAGGCAAGAGAGAGCATGACCAAGATGGAATCTCCAAGTAGGATCTTATTGCTGGATGAGAGTGGGAGGTGTGGAAAGGTGGGTGGTAGGGCTGGAGGGGTCTGTAAGAATCAGATTGTGAATGATCTCATCAGTCATGGGCTTTGTCCAAAGGGCACTGGGGAGCCATAGAGGGTTCTGAACAGAGGAAGGATAGTGTCAAGTCTGTACTTAGGAAGAACTCTCTAGCTACTGTGTGGAGGATGACACTGGGATGGGGAGGCCAGGAGGGACTGGAATGCAGGCGAGGGATCCTGCTGGCCATGGGCTTGTTAATGGGGAGAAAGGAACAGATTCCAAGGATGTTTAGGAGGGGGCATGGGCAGGATCTTCTTCCTCTCTTGGAATGTCTCAACTAAAAACTCTTTGCATCCATCTTTCCAGTAGTCCACACTAATTTAAATAAGGCATTGACTCTCAAACTCTTTCAGTTTGGATGAGAAATCCAGTATCTCCTTTCATTCGTTTCCTTCATGTATGTGGCAGGAGAGAAAAGTGACAAAGACCCCCTTCTGGTGTTACGAGGAGAATTTGCAAGTGCTTATACCACGTACACGGGACACAGCAATAATTTCTGAAGCCTGGGGGTGTCTTATGAGATTTCTTTGTTACAAGTCACTCTTGCAAAGGCGGAGGTTTTTGGTTTTTGTCGTGATCCTCCCTCCCAATGCTGTGGACCACGACCTGCTTGTCAGGCAGCTGAGGAGGAAAAAACCATTTTCTCCTTATCTTGCTGAGATTCCTTTCAAGAGCAGTTGGAAGAGCCTTTGTTTTCCAGGCTACAGTATGGAATTTCCTTAATGAGAACTGGGAAGAGAAAAAAAGGCAAAACTTCCACGGTGGAAGTAAAGGGGGCGGAATGGGATAACCCCCCGATGGGGGACAGGGTGCAACGTGTTTTGGCTTTGCACACAGATGGCCCCGACCGAGTGGACATCGTGGCATCGACATCTGGCATGGTTGGCACCATCGAGGCGGGGCTCAACTCCAGCCTGACCCTGCAGTGTCGGGCCGAGTCCAAGCCGGGCGCTGAGTATCGCTGGACCCTGGAACATTCCACTACGGTGCATATAGGGGACCAGCTGATCATCGGGGCTCTGACCTGGGAACACCAGGGCATCTACAACTGCACAGCCTCCAACGCTGTGACCGGCCTGGCCCGCTCCGCCTCTGTGCTGGTCAAAGTGGCAGGTGAGTCTCTCAGGTGTGTCTTCTCCTGGGATCCAAGTGGCTTTTCCCAATGCCAGCCCTGGCCACCTTGTCTTCCCCTGCCACGGGCTGGAGTACGGCAGCAAGCATACTCCATGGACAGGTTCCCGGTCCAGAGCTGTTGAATCCCAACCCCTCTCCCTCAAGCCCTAGAACCTCTACTTCCGGCTGTGTGCCCTGGAAAACTCTCCAGACTGTTCTAAGCCTCAGTTTTCTTACCCATAAATGGGGTTTATGATGCCCACCTTTCAGAGTTGTTTAGAAGGACGATGAGTCAGGGACATAGCCAGGGAGAGAAGAAGTGAGCTGGTAGGGCGAATCAGGAATCGTATTATTAATATTAACAACTGGGCATGCGTGGTGGGGAGTCCCTGTATTTCTGTCTTTAGCTCTTGAGAGGACAACAGTGTCCCCGTTCACCGGGGTTCATATCCTGGCTCCAGTGCTTAGAAGCCATGTGACCTCAGGCAAGTTACTTCAACTCTCTAGGTCTTTGATTTATTATCTGTAAACAAACATAATAGTTCTGCCTGTTTTATAGGGTTGTTGAAGATTAATTAACATTTATAAAGTTTTTAGGGCAGTGCTTGGCATAGTATAAGTGTTTGTTAAACAAATAAAGTTATTCTTTATCGAGCCTGGACCACATGTCTGAATCAGCCTTTCTGTATATGTATCAACAAACACGTCTTGGGTACTCCCTGCCCTCTAGTTATGAGACGGGCCTGTTGGTATCTTCATTGTACAAAAGGAGAGGCTGACACATAGAGACTCAAACCCTGTCACTGGGGTTTGAAGTTAGCTGGCAGTGTTCTTCGTTGTCCACGAAGCCAAAAACCCCACGCAGCTTCCCAAATTACCCTATTTAATCTTCAGCACACCTCATGGGGATGTTGTAGGATTTGAACGAGATCATGTATGAAGGGTTCTCGGTGCTTGGACCTTGCTAGATAGCAGATTCTGTCCTCCTCACCATCATCACCATCACCTCTTACCAAGCACCTACTATGTGTCAGGCACTGTGCTGGTACTTTTATATATGATCTCATTTCATCCCTTCAAAAGTCTATAGAGTTTGGGCTGGGCGTGGTGGCTCACGCCTGTAATCCTAGCACTCTGGGAGGCCGAGGCGGGAGGATTGCTTGAGCTCAGCAGTTCGAGACCAGCCTGAGCAAGAGCAAGACCCTTTCTCTACTGTAAATAGAAAAGAAATTAGCCAAACAACTGAAAATAGAAAAAATTAGCCGGGCATGGTGGCGCGTGCCTGTAGTCCCAGCTACTTGGGAGGCTGAGGCAGGAGGATTGCTTGAGCCCAGGAGTTTGAGGTTGCTGTGAGCTAGGCTGACGCCACGGCACTCTAGCCAGGGCAACAGAGTGAGACTCTGTCCCAAAAAAAAAAAAAAAAATCTATAGAGTTTGGAATTACTCTCTTTGTTTGACATATAAAGAAACGGAGACTCAAAGAATGAAACTAAGAAGCCCCGAAGCCTCCCAGGAAGTCCCCTCCTGACCCCTCCAAAGCAGAACTCCTTCCTCATATGCCTGACCCTCACGGCAGCCTCCTTTATCCTAGCGGTTGGATTTTACCCCTTTGAGGAAGGTTTGGGCAGAACTGGGATAGGCAAACAGTAGGCAAGTATCAGTGATAATGGCTGCCATTTATTGATCACCTACTATGTACCAGGTGTTAACATTCACGATCTCATCTCAGTTATGCAACGTCCTGCGCACTGGGTCCTGTTTCCCTCAATTTGAAGATGAAGAGATGAGACTCAGAAGTGAATTCACTTGTCCGGGTTCACAGGGCCCCAGAGAGCCAAGGGGCTCTGCGTGAAAGCGGGTTTCTGGTTGCCAAAGCCCTTTTCTCTGGCCCATGCCTCTTCCATGGGGTGGCTGAAAGGCAAAGCCAAGTATTTAATCCATCGTCCTAATCAGCATTGTCATCGCAGCCAACATTCACTGATCACTGTCCGTGGATCCAAACACTGTGTGTGTATGTGTGTGTGTGTGTGTGTGTGTGTGTGTGTGCGTGTGTGTATAATGTGTATATATCCACACACACACACAACACATAGTGAACTTTATGTATATTGAACGTGAATACATATATGTTTAATCTTTCCAGAAACCCCATAAAGGAGGCACTATTGTTCCCATTTTACAGAACAGACAACTGAAGCAGAGGTTAAGTAGCATGCCCAGGGTCACACAGCTGAAATTGGAACCCAGAAACTGCCCAGGTGATTCCAGAAACAACGCTATTAATGCCACAAACTGCTGCCTCCCCGTGACTGAGAAACAAGTGCTCGTAAAGTGTCAATGGAGATAAAGCCACAAGCTCGGGAATGGGGCTGAGGGCAGGGATGCGGGTGTGTCAGGCCTGGGTCTTGGTTCTCTCTCCCCGCCCAGGTCCCCAGTCCTCCCTGACCCCAGGAGCCATCGCTGGCATTGTCACCGGGGTCCTGGTTGTCACTGCCCTGGCCGCAGAACTGGGCTATTTTCTCTACGTTGGAAATACCAGACGGTAAGAGGAGGAATGGGGTGGGGGTTTGGCCAGCAGGGGGCGCGCCTGTCGGAGGGTTGCTGACCATGGTGCTGAGCGGTGCCCGTGGCACCCAAAGAGTCTGGCCGGTTTGGGGGCATTGTCAAAGCATGACCGTGGGATGTGAGCGGCGCCTGTGGAGATGGGCAAAGGCTAGAGTCACAGAAGAATGAAGGCTTTGGGGTTTCAGGCCCTCAGAAAGAAAAACAGAGGACCCCATTCACGAGGCCACACAAACCAGCTCTGAAGAGGAGCCACCTACAGAGCCCAGTTCCAGTAAGTGACTCTGCAGCTGATGCCTGGGGCAGCAGGGAGGGCAGAGACGAGGCTGGCTCTGGGGGCCTGGGCTTCCGCTCCCAGCTTTGCCACCGGGTCCCTACATGGTCATGGGCAAGCCCCGTCCTCTTTGAGCCTCAGTGTCTCCATCTGGACTATGGATAAGATTGGAGTGAAGAACTCTGAGGGGTTCTGACTGTGTCAACAGCCATGCCAAAAGCAGGACAACATGCTGGCATTTGCTCCTTCCTCAATCTCAGAAAACCGTGTTAATGGATAGTGTAGACAGAGCGAATCAATTACAACACTCCTTCCTGCTGAATCCGAACCTAGTCCCGTAATACAGCTCGATGCAGCGCCTCAAGCACCCTCTGTTTGTAGATGGGAGTTGATCAAAGGCAAAATGAAACATATTCGTCATCTCCGGATCTAGGATTCTGGAAAGATGGGCCTCAGAACATTCTAGGCCCTCTAGAAACTGTCCGGTCCAACTCCATTTACACGAGGCTAGGAGGGACAAATGGCTAAACGCAGGCTACGGAGGCCCCAGTGGCAAAACCGGGGCTCGTACTTACACTTCTCTCCCAATCTGTGTCACCAAACAGCCTTATCGAACCCGGAACTTGAGTTCCAGGACATTCCCGGGTCAAGCTCACTGGAGGTGTGATGGGGAGTCCTGGGAAGGAAGGAAAGTCTCTGCCACTTGCATCCTGGGAACAAGGGTCTTGGAGAAACGGCCCCTTTCCCTGTATCTCTTCCTAACTCCAGCTCTTTGCTGGGACTCATTTTCTCTTAGACAGGCTGAGACCAGAGTACGACAATTTACCCAAGCCCCAGAGACAGATCGGAGTCAAAAAGGTGGGTGATGCTGCAGAGGGACCCTCCCTGCTCCCCTGATTGCCTGGACCTCCCCAGCCCAATATGGATGTTCTAGTCCCACCTCGCAGGGTGGGCGGCTGACATGATCTCTTCAATGCCAGCTTGGGTCTCTCTGCATCTCCTCCCCTGACTGCTCTGAGGATCTCAAGACCTCCATCCCCCACATTTCCATGACTTCTCCACGACTTCTTGCTCTTGTACTGGACAGTGCTTAACCTCGGAGCCCTCTGGGAGTCAGA